CATAATACCAGGTGTAAAGGGAGTCATAGCATCCCACTGCAATCAGCACTGTGTCATCCTAGTGGATCACCAGTGAGTTTACGATCATTTTGTCACAGAGAGGATGATGCCGGACCCCAACAGAGAGACTGAGAGAACGGCGGGAAGCGAGAACTAGTGAAGGATCTGTGTGGGAATAATCCACTCCCACATATCAGCGTGAAGAGCCTCTGTGCATCTGGATGGATGTGCATGTGTAATTGGTTTTCTGCTACAGAGACGAGCATTAGCATGTTCCGCCAGGCAGGTTGCAGCCAACTGCGTCACGCCTGACTCTCTGGAGTCAATTGCCTCAGGAATCATAAACACACACACATGGCGGCTGGGCACCAATTAACATCTTTTTTTCCCACTTGTATGCCGTCTTTACCTCTCTGTTATGTCTCTCTCCACTTTTGTTTTGCCATTACTCTGCAATCCACACATATGCAAAGGCAGGGCGTTCTGCTCTTGGGAAAGAGTAGGATTATGTACATTACCGTTCAAAAGTTTGGGGTCGGTAAGATTTTCTCTTACACTTACCAAGGCTGCTGTTATTTGATCAAAAGTACAGTAAAAACAGTAATGGTGTTAAATATGGTTATGATTTAAAATAACTGTTATCTATTTTAATACATTTAGAAATTTAATTTATTCCTGTGATGGCAAAGTTGAATATTCAGCAGCCATTATGCCATTCTTCAGGGTCACATGATCCTTCAGGAATCATTCTAATATGCTGATTTGGTGCTCAATGAACACTTATTATTGTTATCGAAAAATTTTGAAAACAGTTCTGCTACTTAATATTTTTGTACACCATAAAACATTTTTTCAGGATTTTTGATGAAAAGAAAGTTCAAAAGAACAGAAATGTATTTGATATATAAATATTTTGTAACATTGCAAATGTCTTTACTGTCAGTTTTGATCAGTTTAATGCATCCTTGCTGAATAAAAGTATTAATAAAAAAAAAAAAATCTCACGGACCCCAAACTTTTTAAGAGTAGTGTATATACATTAAAAATTTTTTTATTTGGAACAAAGGGGATATTGAGGCCTAGCAGGCTGTTTTGACTTTGACCACACTTAAACATCCACCTAGCAACGGCCTAGTAACTGCATAGCAACGCATAAAAAACACCCATAGCTTTTGGCCGACCACATATCGGCGAGTTTTGCACAATAACCACTCTTTTCTTTAATAAATGTAAAAGTCCATTTACTGCCTTTTGACAGACCAACACAAGAGACATTAAGCTGGACTCATGAACTAGACTAAATAGAGAGAGTGAGTAGTGAAAGGAGAGAAGAGAGGCCATCTGTTCCAGTTTGTGCAGAACGGCGTGGAGTGGAACACAGCAGGATCATGTCCTCAAAACACAGAGAGAATATTAGAGAGGCAAAGAGAGTCCAAATGTGAAAACAAACCTTAACTGACCCATAGTGTTGACGTCCACAGAATCTGTCCATTCTAACAAGTGCTTAACATCAAACCTCCATAATACAATAAATACCACGTCTCTTTCTTTCTTCTTTCTGCCCTCCATTAATTATCTCCTTGTCCCTCTCTACTTTGTCTTATTCTCTTTTATTAAAAACACTTTGAGGTACTTCAGAACTCACACAAATGGAAGTGTCCCTCACACAAGGGCCATTCGCCCTCTTTCAGTTCATTTCAGAGTGTTTTTAATGCAGTAAGTAATGGAATATTATTAGTGGCCTTGAGTGAAAATCAAAAATGCCTTGCTTTTTTTTTGTGTGGTTTTACTTGAAAGCGGTTGTCACACCATTTATGAAATTTCATAAACATGGGTACATATGATCTGGTCCATTTATGGAATTTATGTCACATGTTTTCTTGTTTACCCAGTATTTTTGTTTGCAATATATTTTTTGCTCATGAACCACTACCTAAAAATTTCCACTAGGAAACTTCCTCAAGAATTCATTTTGTGCCACAGAGGAAGTTGCAGTGGCCACCAAGGCTACATTCGGAAATGGTTATGCTTAAAGTCCATTGGGGTGCCATATGGTTAGCTTAACAGCATGATAAATGTAGAATCTGTTGGAAACAATTGTAATTTTAATCACCTGCATGGACTGCTATTTGTGTTGCTGTCTATGCAGAGTGGCCCAAATCATTCACTTCTGAGGTTTTAGTTTGGGTCGAACACTGACTTAAAAGGTATTTGCCCTAGCTGGGAATTGTTTTTTTTTTTTGCCCTAGCTTTTCAACATTTTGGCAACACTATTCCTATTCACTCTTAAAAACAAAGGTTCCAAAAGGATTCCATGGATGTTTAAGGTTCTTCATGGAACCATAGTAAAGTGAAGTAAAGCCAGTAAAGAATCTTTGCTTCTAATGGGGCTTTCACACTAGCAATTTTGGAGTGCACCCAGGTTCGTCTGACATTAGAGTTTGTTTCATTTGGATAATGAGAATGCTGTTTTCTGAACTTGGGTGCACACCCGTGAACTGTACCTGAGTCCGCCTAAAAAGCGTGACTGAATTTAGAGAGAATTCATATCTCATTTCTGCTTGGAAAGCTTGACTCCCGCGTTCTTTTGAACCTTCTCATTCCAGTCCTGACAAATAGACACATGTGCTATTCTGTTCTTAAATTTAAATTTCATTTTATTAGTCTACAGCAAGCGTTCATGCTCCCAATGTTATTTAATGGCACTGTCAACACTGCACTCCAACAGCTGACAAAAGAGCTGCAGAGAAATTCAAGGCAAAGTCATTTCCTCATCCATTTGACACAAAACGATTATATATAATTAAACCGTATATATAAAATGATTTCATTTTGGGTCATAATAGTGATATTTTTCTGAAAATTTTGTTTCGAAAAATAGCTATTCGTTATGTTTGTATATTCGTTATGATGAAAAGCCTATTTGTTATAAAGTTGATTTAAATATTCTTCAAAACAAATTTTAAGAAAAATGTAAAAGTTATCCTGTCACTGATATAATTTAGGCTATTTTACTTTCTTCGACTGCAGCAAAAAAAATAGTCTAAAACCATTTAACTTGCAATGTTAACTTATGAAAAAAAAAGAAAGACAAGAAACAAATATCAACCAGATGTGTTATCTTATATTAAAAAATATTTGACAAAATTACAAAATGAATGCTGAATAATGTTTGACAGTAAGCGCATCTCCACTGCATAGTCACATATGCAATCGCTGGCGTCAGTCGAAAATATTAAACATATTTAAAAAAATCTTTGTGAAAATGACTGCCAGTGACTGGTTCTCGAATTCTAAGATTATAATCTTTATTTAGACACCACACACTATGCAAGTTTTTCTACCGACTGCAAACAGCGACTGAGCCCAACTGGAACAGACCTGGTCCAACTGAGCACGATCAGTCGTCAAGACCAAATTGCATTCATAATCAGCCAGACAGACAGTCGTGTAGTGTGTTCTCAGCTTAAGACTGTTGTTGAACTCTGCGATGTAGCCTGCAAGGTTTTGGAAAAAAAGCTTAAAAAGAACATAGAAGTTAACCAAAATAGTCTTTTCTAATCAGGGGTCTTGATATTGTAATGTTGGAGTGGATTTAGTTCTAATCAAGCATTTTCTCACTTTTCTCCTCTAGCTGGAACAGAAGCAGGTGACGCCACCGTTCAAACCTCAGATCACAGACGACTACGGTTTAGATAACTTTGACACGCAGTTCACCAACGAACCCGTGCAGCTAACACCAGACGACGAGTAAGTATTGAAAAATGTAATGCTTGGCTGAAGGGCATTTCATTACCACAAATGATCAGTAAAGATCTCTGACAGAAGAATCACTCCACCTGTTTTCCAATGACCTGTCCAGTTGCTAAAAACTGCTAATACGACCGGACTCGTGTTTGGTCAAATGTGTCCAGATTTGAATTATGAAAAGACAAACTGGCATCTCCTTACACACCGTAACATCTTCCAAATGTTTAAATGAAAATTAAAGTCAGTTGTCACTTCTGTGGAATCCATCTTGAGAGCGATTATGTAATAATTTAACAACTTCAAAGTTACATGACTGCACCAGCAGAAGATTTAGCCGTTTAATGACGGGGGTTTCCACTCAGTTTGATTCTGCTGGTTAGGATGGTGAGGTTTATATGTCTAAGATTCCCCTTCAGAAGAGAGAGCGAGATGAAGTGAAATGGTTTACCCATCTGGAGGCTATCGTCAAGAGGTGATGTCGTCATATGGAAACATCCCCTCTGGAGTTTCTGATTGCTTTACAGTATGAGGTGCACAGAAAAGGGCCACATTGAAAGGGAGGACAAAGAATAGCTCTTAAACTGCAAAAACCTGATGGCGAGAGGCATTAAAAACCAGAGATTCATGTGGAAACTGGCTTTAATCAGTATGAAGTGAGTTTCTAGGGGGGCTTTTATGCTTTCAAGTCTTTTCTTCAGTCGCTCATTCATAAACTCGGTCCTTTTGAATACTGCGGTGATTAAAACAAGTGCTAAAATAAGAGAAAGGCTAGTCAACTCAATGCAAAAAATGTGCATTTATTTGATGGTGGAGGATTGTAGGTTGCCTCATGGCATGTCTGAGTACATTTGAGTCAGTTGTTGAGGCCTCACCCCATTATTCTCAAGAGATTCTTCAGACATTCCTGTCGTTCAGCACGGAGGACAATCACGCCGGGCTTTGAGACGTATTGTTCTGTAGAGGTGTATTTCTCTCGAGAGGGACTCCAGTCTTCACAACGACTTTTATATCTGGCTGAATTTGTTATTCTGATTTAATCCATAGAGACAGGCAGTCCTTAAGCTTCTAAAAAGGGATTCCTGGTTTCAATTTACATTGAATGGAGCTCCAAAAATGCAGCCCTGAAAGAGGGCGGCATCTTTGATTAACAATGTGATTTGGTACCATGACTGAAATGCATCCTGTTATCGCCAAAATCTGAGGGCTGTGCATTTAAAACGTACAATGATTAGTAGGGTTATGCAAAAGTTAGAAGAATTAGATCACTTTCAATTCGTGAGTGTGAGTTGAATTGCCTACAACACAGGAAGTTCAATTGGAATTGGAAAGACGGATTGGATTGGAGATATCCATCCATCCATCATTCTATCATTCCATCTATCCATCCAGCCATCCATCGTTCTATTGTTTCATCATTCCATCCATCCATTTATCCATCCATTAATCTATCCAGCCGTTCCATTCATCCATCTGAATTTCAATTCATTTTAATGCCATTTTACAGTATGAGGTGCACAGAAAAGGGCCACATTGAAAGGGAGGACAAAGAATAGCTCTTAAACAGATGAGATTGAGAATTGCATCAAATTTGAATTTGAACCTAAGGAATATTATGAATATTATAATATGATGCAATTCTCAATCTCATCCTGTTTACTACCTCAGTTCGAATCAGGCATTCAGTTCCGAATGAGGTCATCCAGTATCTTGAAGTGATCTGATATTTTAACTCTCCATGAGAAGCCCAAGATGCACTTCATTGAACTTTCAAACATTAACTGTTGAGTATACAATCATTAATGTAAGGTAAACCTGTCACTCATAATTAGCAGAACGCAAGTGGGCCGCAGTCAGATGAACTGACAGACAGTAATCTACAGAGCCACGGCGGGTTTTTAGTTCAATACGAGATTTTCCAAGCAGGCTTCAAAGGACACTTCAAAAGCAGAGCGAGCTCTGGAAAAGCCTGACGTCCCACACGGTGGAGAAGGGGGAGGAAGTGATGGAAGCCTCTTTTTTTTTTGATGGATCTGGCAGACGAAAAAAGAGGGTGGGGGGTGAAATCTTTCCTTGTTAGAGATTTAGTCTTTTGGATTAAAGGAAAGTGCGTCCAGAGTGGGATGTGTCTCAGAGCGAAGCGGAAAAGGATGAACTGGAATCCATTGCGACTAGAGACACAATTCCCTTTTACATGCTCACACAAACGGCTTATAAAGGAACTTGGATTCCCAATGCATTATTATCTAGCTACCAACATTTACACAAAGTACACTACTGTTCAACAGTTTGAGGTCAGTAAGGTCATTCAAAAACATTTTTAATGTCACAAAATATTTCTGTTTCAAATAATGCTATTGTTTTAACTGTAAATTTCTTCTAAGACTCCTGAAAAAATGTTCCGCAAAAATATAAAAAAAGCACAAATATTTTCAACATTGATAATAATACGAAATGTTTTTTAAACATCAAATCAGCATATCAGAATAATTTCTGAAGAATCATGTGGCACTGCAAACTGGGGTAATGGCTGCTGAAAATGTAGCTTTGCCATCTCAGGAATAAATTACATTTTAAAATACATTCAAATAAAAAGGTTACTTTAAATTGTAGTACTATTTTCTATTTTTGATTAATCTTACCGACCCCAAAATTTTCCTAGTGTGCATTTTTAATTGCCCCTAATAAGTGTTTTATCTACACATACCTTTTATTTAAAGTCATTTCCTTTCATAAAGCCAAATGTTCGCATTACTTGTCACAATAATCGTATGTTTTTAAACAGGTTGTGTGAAAGGAAATGTTGGTAGTGTTAGACATGTTATGGAGTTCGAAAAGTTTTGAAAATGAAAAAATAGTACCAAAGCTTGCTTGCTTTCTTCCTTTCAAACAAGTTCCACCTTGAAATTCTTTTCTAAAGAAACATTTGTGCAGTAAAGAGGCTTGTTTATTTTGGTCAGTGCCCAGAATGTCCGTCTTTCTGTGTTTCTTCCTCTGTGGCATCACACATTTCCCCCCTGCACTCCCTTTGAAACCTGAGCCTGATATTACGGCATAGAGGTGTCGTTCATGTTATTTTAGGTTTCACTCTTGCTGGGGGCATTTCGACCCCACACACACCCACATACAGTCAAGTGGCCCTCTGGGGACTTTATTCAATCAGACACAGAACACACAAACACAATTCGGCACTGATCCCGGATCTAGTGAAATATCAGTTCTTGTACTTGTTATAGAGGAGAATTGTCCTCCACGGACCGTGTTTAACAGTATGTGATAAACGAGTTTTGAATCGGTTCAGCATTACGCCATAGAAGAGGTGGAGCATTATAGCAGTGCGCTATCCTCAACAGGCTGATAAAATAGATCGATGGATTCCTGAGGTTCTGAAGAGCAAGAGGTCTGATTTCAGCACGAATTTTACTATCTCTTTAGACATGTAAAGGATCACTGCCAGTGAAAACAAAATAGCCAAGAGAAGAAAGACGCCACTGAATTTCTCAATTGTACTCTATAGTGAAATTCCGTCTGCCCACTGCTGTAGTTAGAGCCCTTTGTTATTATCCAGCCCCTCGACGCAGATGAAAGGTTGTTGTTGTTTTTGGTGGGCCCTCTGCATTTACAGATTTGCTCATAAGTTTACATATTCCCTTGCAGAATCAAAAAAAAAAGAAAGAAGTAGTAACATACCAGATATTTTCATACATTTATTGTTCAAAGGTTTGGAGACAGTAAGATTTGTTTTATGTTTTTGTTCACCAACGCTGCATGTATTTAATAAAAAAATACAGTAAATCAGTAATATTGTGAAATATTAGTTTAAAATAACTGTTTTCTATTTTAATACATTTTAGCCATTACTTCAGTCTTCATTGTCACATGATCCTTCAGAAATCATTCTGATATGCTGATTTAGTGCTCAAGAAACATTTCTTATTATCAATGTTGAAAACAGTTGTGCTGCTTAATATTTTTGTAGAAACCGTGATGCCTTTTTTTCAGGATTCTTTGATTCTATTTTGAAACGGAAATATGTTGTAACATTATAAATATCTTTACTGTCACTTTAAAATCTCTCTGGGACTGACCCCAAACTTTCAAATGTTATCATATATTTCCCAAGAAAATACATAATGTGCATTTTTAATTTTGTGGGAAAATGTCGACCAAGTACTAAATAAAAAGGAATGTTAAAAATCACAGCTGTATTTAATCACACTGGAAATAGGTCAAATTGAGCACATATTCAAGATGCTCTCCTTGACCATGTTTGGTTCTTGTGTTATTGCCTCCTTAGGTTAAATGTCTATATTCCTAATTTAGACAAAAGTGTCAGCTAAATTAATAAAAATACATGTAAAAGATATGATGCCACCAGCAATGCTTATTAGCACCTAACGGAAAATCAGTTCATCAAACTACCTTCTCTTTTCCCTTAATTTGTGCTTTAAGCCACAGTGCGGGACATGTACAGTTGAATTGTTGCTCTTCCATTAATAATGTTGTTTTTTCTCCTCAGGGATGTGATAAAGAGAATAGACCAGTCTGAGTTTGAGGGATTCGAGTACATTAATCCTCTGCTGCTCTCCACTGAAGAAACCGTATGAGGGAAGAACAATACTGCTGATGTTTCTCTGCCTGCGGCTCCACAAGACTACTACAGCTGAGTTTAGCTCAGACTATGTGTTCACAGAGAAGAACTTCTCCTTAAAACTGTGTTAAAGACAAAAAGCAACACTACGACTTCACGTTTCGGACCGTCCTTGAGTTATTTTGGGGTTACACTGGGAGAAGAAACGACTGGAGAAACTTCAGAAAACACACTCACAACTATTCCCCAAATTTCAGCTGTTGATTGTCTTCCTGCTTCCCAGCATCCTCTTTAATTTTCACGCCCATGTGTCCACGTGCACTGTTAATTGGGACTAAAGTTAGTTCCTTCAATGTGTGCCTGCGTCCATCAGAGACTACACTTCCCATCAACCCTTGCTAAATATGACAGTTCTAACTTAATGTGCACTTTTATTTTGTTAGATTTTTTATTTTTTTTGATTCTCTTTAATCTTGTATGAGGCTCGTCCTCAAGCGAAACAAGAATGTATAATGTTTAAAAGTAAAAAAAAAATGGTTGTATTATAGTGTAGGTAGCCAATCTAAGAATATATGATGCCTTCTATGATGCAAAGTGGCACATTTTAATTCATGATCATGATGGATTCATCCGCAGTGGGTAGCTGTGCTTCAAGCCACAAGCTTTTAACCTCCCATGTTGGTTTCACAGAGTAAATGGGAGATAAAATGTGTTTTTTGAAGAAGTGCCTCAAAGATCCAAAATTCACCATGCTCCAACTGCTCTGAACTCCACGTTAGATTGGAGTTGGTTTTTCAATGCACCATCCAATGAGAAAGTGGGCTGCAGGTGTTATTATTATTATTATTTTTTACATAACATAAACACACTGATCCAAATGTTGAAAACAAAACATGAAGATTAGACACTGAATGATCACAAAGCCCAAATACATCTGACCAGCAGTAATATTACCAACCTCGGCTCATTAGAAAAAAACTTTCCTCTATCCATATTTTTGCAAAACTCCAAAAATGTATATACATTTTACTGCAGTTTCCAGCTGAATTTAACACTGAAATGAACTTTTACTTCTTTTTACATAAATTATTACGGGGCATTATTTGTAATAAATTTTGATATTTGCATCACGTGACCAACCCCATATATATGTTTTTTCCCAGATCGTAAACGTGCTCGGTAGCTCATCCGGTACAGCGCTGCACTTGCGATGCTAAGCACTCGGGCAAAACACAAGTTAGGATAAAAGACCTCAAAGACTTGTAGATGCAACTTACTGGACATTTCACACTGAAAGCGTCTTAAAACATTCAAAAAAACAATTTAATATAATTTTGCATAAATGTCACCACAGGCACATCCCCCCCCCCTAATGAGTCTGGGTTTAATATTACAGTAGAGTTCATTATAGCTACACGCTATATTACTCAAATGGCTGCTCCTCACTCTGATAAGAGGGTTTTGTGTTGTACTCATGTGATCTGTCAATAACGTGCTGTTGAGATGTTGTGGAGCATGAGAGAACACAAACAAGGGGTTTGCACATCATGTCGCTGGTGTTATGTGGTGGTAAAATTGTGCAACAGTGATGTGACTGAATCTCAGATGACCTAAACACATGGTGGAACTGTCTTTGCAGTCGCAATCAAATGCTCAAATTCAACCCATTGCAACACTCGATATCAACTCGACAAAATGCTAATCTTTTATCATTCGGTGACGGGCTGTGTTCGGAATGGAGTTCTAGCGTACTACAGTAGTAGTATATACTGTACTCTGTCTACTATTTTTTATTAATAGTAGGTGAAATGACACTTTTCAGACATTAGTAAGCTGCACTGTCACGTTACTTTGTGATGTTGCATATAAGCAACTAATAATGACTTGTATTTTAAAATCAATTTTGTGTAAAAATGCTGTGATTGTTCACAGTTAGGCAAACAAATGAGCCAAAAAAAGAGATGGAAATGGAAGGTCAAGTTGTGTGTATTGCATTATGGGATATGTTATTCTGCACTGTGTGTGTCTTGGCAAATGTAGTAGGTCATCTGGGTATCCCATGCATACTGTGCACAGTATACATACTGCAGAGATCGTGAGAGTAACATGTTAGTATGCTATTCCAAACATAGCCGTACACTCAAATAACCATCATGTCTATTTAAATTCCAGGCCACACAAAAAAGCTCTTAAAAATTAACTTCAAAATCCGTAATTTCCCTTTAAAGAATAAAAACGGCCAATCACAGGCTAGCTTGACTGATTAATCCCTCACAGTGATAAGGTATTGTGTTATTAAGCAGCTAGATATGTTTTCTATCTTCCATTGCATTTAATCTCCCAAGTTTTTTTATTCCCCTCTCTTCCTGGAGAGTGAAGACGACACTCTTAGACACTCTTAGATGTGAACGCTTTGATGAAATCAGACCTGTATGAAGAATTGCTGCCATGTTAACAGGATTAATTAGCTGCTTTTGTGTCAGACAGTAGTGAGATTAGCAGACGGGCTAAGAACAAAGAATGGCCCGGGAGGTGACAAACGTAACGATAACGAGGCAGAGAGCAAAGCCAGATCTCCCCACCGTGTTTTCAGCTCTCTAATGAAAAGCTGGTGCGAAAACAGGCACAAAATTTTCGATGAACTCCACTATTTATGAATGACATATGGATTGTTTGTAATGGGAACTTTAGTTGAATGCAAACTGCCAACAAGTGGCATTCCAGTATAGTTTGGCAAGGCCATTGCTCGTGCAAATTTTCAGGTTTTTAACATAGTCTACATGACATTATTTAGCTCAAAATTTGCTTCATTTTCATTCCTGTAAACCAATTATTCTTTTTACAAACTGTCAGATAAACAGGTACTATGGTATATTACAAAGGACCAAGTAATAAATCATCTTCATCCGACCAACAATTAACTTTCCACCAGCTTGAGCTAATGTACAGAATCCACATGAAACGGTGTCAGATTTATTATTGTCCTTTGTTGGGTTTTATTCATGTTTATATTTTAACTGGAATAAGTTTGGCATAATTGTAAATATCTGTAATTTAACCCTTAAAATTTTCACACACAAAAAAAGAAATAAATCTGTTTCGGCATCATTATAAGAGATAACTAAATCCAGTGTCCCAACTGCTAGTCTCAAACTTAGAGCCCAAGACTGCGATAAAATTCCTGTCCCATTTTAAGCAAGAAATTTCTATTATTTTTTCAACTTGCCAAATATAAAATCTGTCGCAAGCTGTTTTCTGCTTTTTTTTCCCTCTCGGTTTTTTATTTATGTTGAGTCCAAAGCAAATGACGCTCTTATCAATGTGCTACAGGGGAATACTTTTATATTTGAAGTGTTTGTTTTATAAATTATTGTAAATGAAAGCTCTAGTAGAGTTCCTGTGGGCTGAAGGTGGGAGAGAGAGATGTGAACATGTCTTTGGTTTTACGAAGTTAAGTCTTAAGCATCTTAGATAACAACTGTAAATCAGTAAATGTTCATTGTAATGACTTCACATTTCCTGTCTCATGATTTCTGGGTGTGGAGAAAAAGAAAAACACTGGTCTGTGAGAGAGCATGTCCAACACGGTCTTTATTGCACAATGCATATTTATCAATCATATTTAATAAGAAATACTTAAAGGAATAGTTCATCCAAAAATGAAAATGTGCTGAAACTGTACTTAACTTCAGGCTTTCCAAGATGTAGATGAGTGTGTTTCTTCATCTCAACAGGTTTGGAGAAATTTAGCATTACATCACTTGCTCACCAATGGAGTGAATGGGTGCCATCAGGATGAGAGTCTAAACAGCTGATAAAAACATCATAATAATCCACAAGTAATGTGAGTAATCCATAAATTGTGTGTTTGTAATAAACAAATCCATAATTAAGAAGTTTTTCATTTAAAACCATTGCTTCTGGCTAAAATATGAGTCCTCTATGAATAATTTAGCTTTCTTTAGTCAAAAAGTAATCTCGTCTGAATCAGGAGAAAAATATGCACAGATCAAACACTGTTTACAAGTTAAAAAAAAAAAAAAAAGTCCAAAGCAGTTCTAAATAAATATGTCAGTGGGGTTTTGATGTGAGAGGACAACAGGGGATGGACTTTTTCACCGGAGGAAGTGTTATTGTGGATTATGGACTGGTATTTTGGCCAGAAGCGATGGTTTAAAGTTAAAACACTGTAATGATGGTTTTGTTCCTTACAAAAACACAGCTCTTCACTTTACAAGATATTAATTGATGGACTGGAGTTGTGTGGCTTACATGTGGTTTATTGTAATGTTTTTATCAGTTGTTTGGCCTCTCATTCTCACAGAAAAAAAAGAAATAAATCTGTTTCTGCATCAATATAAGAGATATCTGAATCCAGTGTCCCAGCCGCTAGTCTCAAACTTAGACCCCAAGACTGCAATAAAATACAAGTTCCTGTCCCTGAAAACATTTTAAGCAAGAAATTTCCATTATTTATCAACTTGCCAAATACTAAAGCTGTCGCAAGCTGTTTTCTGCTTTTCTTTCTTTTTTGGTTCTTTCCTTACATTGAGTCCAAAGCAAGGGACACTCTTATCAACGTGCTACAGGGGAATACTTTTATATTTGAAGTGTTTGTTTTATAAATTATTGTAAATGAAAGCTCTAGTAGAGTTCCTGTGGGCTGAAGGTGGGAGAGAGAGATGTGAACATGTCTTTGGTTTTACGAAGTTAAGTCTTAAGCATCTTAGATAACAACTGTAAATCAGTAAATGTTCATTGTAATGACTTCACATTTCCTGTCTCATGATTTCTGGGTGTGGAGAAAAAGAAAAACACTGGTCTGTGAGAGAGCATGTCCAACACGGTCTTTATTGCACAATGCATATTTATCAATCATATTTAATAAGAAATACTTAAAGGAATAGTTCATCCAAAAATGAAAATGTGCTGAAACTGTACTTAACTTCAGGCTTTCCAAGATGTAGATGAGTGTGTTTCTTCATCTCAACAGGTTTGGAGAAATTTAGCATTACATCACTTGCTCACCAATGGAGTGAATGGGTGCCATCAGGATGAGAGTCTAAACAGCTGATAAAAACATCATAATAATCCACAAGTAATGTGAGTAATCCATAAATTGTGTGTTTGTAATAAACAAATCCATAATTAAGAAGTTTTTCATTTAAAACCATTGCTTCTGGCTAAAATATGAGTCCTCTATGAATAATTTAGCTTTCTTTAGTCAAAAAGTCATCTCGTCTGAATCAGGAGAAAAATATGCACAGATCAAACACTTGTTTACAAGTAAAAAAAAAAAAAAGTCCAAAGCAGTTCTAAATAAATATGTCAGTGGGGTTTTGATGTGAGAGGACAACAGGGGATGGACTTTTTCACCGGAGGAAGTGTTATTGTGGATTATGGACTGGTATTTTGGCCAGAAGCGATGGTTTAAAGTTAAAACACTGTAATGATGGTTTTGTTCCTTACAAAAACACAGCTCTTCACTTTACAAGATATTAATTGATGGACTGGAGTTGTGTGGCTTACATGTGGTTTATTGTAATGTTTTTATCAGTTGTTTGGACTCTCATTCTGACGGCACCCATTCACTGCAGAGGATCCATTGCTGAGCAAGAGATGTAATGCGAAATTTCTCCAAATCTGTTCCGATGAAGAAAAAAACTTATATACATCTTGGATGGCCTGAGGGTGAGTAAAATTTCAGCAAATCTTCCTTTTTGGGTAAACTATTCCTTTAACAGGCTTTCTGGCTACAGTAATCAAAATGCTAAAGTAATACTTTGCAAGCACATGCAACGTAACACAGGTACCTAAAATAATATAACAGAATTTCCTTATCATCACCAAATAATATCTTCATGAATCTCTGATAAACACTGCGCAAGATGACCATCGCAATCCAATTGGGTGAACCTGAAAAAAAAAACGAACGCATACATGATTTTAGCAATAGCGAACAGCACAAAAACACACACATAATCCAACACACAATAACTGAAGATAAATCAGTGCTGTAAACCCAAACACAAGGGT